ATATAATTAGCTAATTATCTTATATAATGTTATTAACTGATATCTCCCTTTTTTTTATAATATATATGATTAGTTAATTTATTTATCTAAAAAAGGATTTGTGTAATATTATCAACTACTACACACTCTTTCTTCCTAATAGAATGACATTATATTTGGCTCTCCTCTAATTACTAAAAATACAAAAAAGAATATTAAATAAGTATTGAATAAAAAGAGAAAAAAGAGAAATAAATTAATGACAGAAATCTAAAAAATAAATAAAAGAAAATAAAGACAATCTACAAATATACAGAAAGATTATATAAAAAGTTTAAATAAAAAAACCAAAAAAATAAAATATTAAAATATTTATATATATATATTATTAAAAAAAAAATTAATAAAAATAATAAAAATTAATTATTATATATAAGATATATAAAAGAATTAAAATTATATTAAAAAAAAATTAGAATTAGAATGATTTATAAAATTAATTAATATTAAATTATTATAAATAAAAATAGTATTTTATCTTATAAATTAATTTTGTAATTATAATTTTATAATAAATAAGATTTTAAATAATAAAATATAATTTTTTTTTATTAATAAACTTACTTTAATATAAGCATTATTAATTTATTTAAAAATTTAATAGGTAATATTATAAGAATTTAATTGTGATATTAATTTTATAATTTTATTAAATTAAAAAAAATAATTTATATAATATAAATTAAAGTAAAACTATAAAAAAATAAATTATCTTAAAAATAATTAAACAAAAAATCTAAGAAATATAAATAAAGAAATTTAAATTAAAAAATATAAATAAAAAAATATATTTAAAAAATAAAAATAAAAAAATATTCTAAAGAAATACAAATATAGATATTCAAAAATAAAAAATATCATAAAATAATAATAAAAATTAAAAATAAATAATAAGAAAAAATATAATATAATAATAGAATATAAATCAAAAATTATACCAACAAGAAATATTACTTAAGAAATAAAAAAAGATATAAAAAATTAAAATAAAAAGATGAATAAAGAATTATAAGAGAAAATAATAAAGAATATTTTATATTACTAAATATAATTAAAAAAAATAAAAAAAATAAAATAACTAAGAAAATAAAAGAATAATTGAAAAAAAAAATATAATATGAAAAAAAGTTAAATAATTTTAGATAAAATATGAAATAATTTATAGAAAATAAATTAAATGAGAAATAAATGTATTAAATTATAAATTCTTAAACAAATAAAAATTGATTATAAAATAAATTTTTTTAATAGTAAGTAGTAAAAGCATATTAAAAAATATAAATTTTATTAAAATTATTAAACTTATATAAGCATTTTACAGTAGAAAGAAAGAAAACTACTAGAAAAAAATTTTTTTTATTTTATAAGCTAAATCTTATTTTTTTTAGTAAAATAAATCCAGATTTAATATTAATTTAAAAAAAAATTTTTTAATAGTTTTCTATTATGATATTAATAATTTGTAAAATTAAAATTTGATAATTATAATATTAATATTTAAATTAATATTTATATATATAAATAAATTATTAGTTTATAAATAAATTAAATTTGATAAGGTTAAATCTAAATTTATAATTATTAAATTAGAAGAAATTTTTTAATTTAATCAAAATTAAGTTTAATTTTAATAAATTTAAATTGTTTATATAGTTAGAATATTGATAAAATATTGATAAAATATAGATATATAAATAAAATATTTAATATATAATATAAAATAAGTTAGAATATAGTAAATATCTAAAATATTAAATATATATATCTTTGTCTTTTATTATTTTGATACTCTGTTAAATTTCTAATTTTTATTTAGCAATTTATATAAAAATAAAATAGATATTTATAATAAAATTATATTAAATTATATATATTTATATATAAATTAAAATTAATTAATTTAAATTTATAATTAAATTTTATTATATTTTATAATTATTATATATAAAAAACCTAAATATATATAATTTTAACTAATACTGATTAATACTGTTTTATTTTTTATAAAATAATTACTATTTAATTTTTAAAATTAGATAATTTAATAAATTAAAATTAATCAATCAATTTTAAAATAATATAATTAAATTTTTATTCAAAATTATAGCTTAATAAAATTTACTTAAATCAATATTTTAAATTTAAAACTTAATTATTTAAATAATTAATAATTATAAAGAATATATTATAATTATTAATAAATATATAAAATAGTAATTAAATCATATTTTTAAATTATAAATAATTTGATATATAAAATATTTTTTAAATAATGCTTTATAATAAAAAAATAAAAAAACTACAAAAATTTTATTTTTTATATCAAATATTATTTTTTAATAAAAAAAATACAGATTTAATATTTTTTTTTTTCTTTTACAAAATATTTATATATAAATTCAAATTTATTATAAATATTAAAATTTAAAATATATATAATTATTATATTTATTGTATTTTACTTTATATATTTTATAACATAAAATAATTTATTTATTATACTATATGATATTATTATCTCTCTTTTATCATCTGTATCATATCTTATAATCCTGAATATCTCTCATTTAACTTACAAATAATATATAATAAAATGTATTTTTATAATAACTCAGTTAATATTAATGCTAAAAATATGATTTTATTATCATTATATTTCTCTTATAAAGATGATTTAAATAATATTAAGATTATTAAATCTAATTACTGATTAGTTTAAAAACTGGAATATATAGGATAACAGATTTTAAAAACTTCTTATAATAAGTAATTTTTACCAGAATTTACATATGAGATATTTACTAAGAAAATATGACTTTATGAATTTTTTGATGAAAATTAAGATTTTATTATTATTTTAATATAATAATATCAAAAACTAAAATATAATAAAAAATAAAATTTTGTTAAAAAATTCTTAGAATCTTATTTTTCTAATAAACCTCTTATATAAACTTTATGCAAACTCTAATTTAAATTATATAAAAGATTTTTAAAGTTTTCATACTATATTTTCTTTATTTTTTATATATATTTTAAAAATTTAATAATTTTTTAGTTGTAAAAATCTATTCTTTATATTTAATATTAAATATCACATATTTTATTTTGGTTAGCATTATATAATTTTGCTTAAAAGTAATATATTATATAGTATGATAAATAAATTTATTCTTATAACATATATAAATTATATAAATTAATAATTAACTATATTATTTTACTAATAATTTTTATTTATTATTATACTTTTATTTTTTATAAATTTGAAATTTGTTATTTAATTATATATATAATTTATATTTTATTATTAAATTTTATTATATAATATAATATATTTATATTTTATTTCTATAGTAAAATATAATTATAATTAATTAATTTAAATTATAAAATTATTATATTTTTTTACTTATTTATATTAATTATTATATTATAATATTATTAATTAAATTAAATATAAAATTAATTTATAATATAATTTAACTAGTAATATTTTTATATTCTATTATAATATACAGTAATATAAATATTAATAAATATTATAAAACTAGGTAATAGAAACTATTAAAATATATAAAACGTTCAAATTAGTTAATCAACCATATTTAAATTTTAGCTAATCACAAATTGATATTATATTTATCATATAATTTTTAGATTACATATTAGGCAATATTATATGCATAGTTTTAACTCTAAAAAGTAAAGTATCCTACACTTATACTTTAGATAATAATTAAATAAAATAATATTTTAATATTTTAATATTTTAAATTATTTATAATATTATAAATACTTTATAATAAAAAAAAACTTATAAAAATTTTTTAGTTAATATTAAGTTTAAATATATTTTATTTTAAAAATTATATTATTATAATTATTTAAAATATTAAATCTTTAATTTTAAAATTAAAAATGATGTTATAATTAATTGCAACTGGTGATAAATAAGTATTACTTAGTATAATTAATTGTGACATTAATAAAAATTAAGTTGTAACTAATTATAACTGATAACAAATAAGCATTATATAATTACAACTAATTACAATATTATTTTTATTTGAAATATATATTTTTAATTAATATTAGAAAAATATTATTTAATTACAATAAATTTAATAATATGTATTTTTTTGTTTAATAAATTATTTTTTCTAAAACTTAAAAATTTTCAATTATTTATAAAATAAAAAATTACAAATAATAATTATTATTATAATTTATAGTATTGTAAATATATTACATATAGTAATAATAAAGTTATATATTTTTAATTTCAAAATAATTGAATTATATATATATATATATAAGTATAATAATTTTATTTTAAAAATATTTAACTTTAAAAACTTAATAAGTATGTAAAATTTTATAGATTTTTAGTTTAGAATTTTATATATTTTAAATTAAATTTTAAATAATTAATATATTATCATTGGATTAGAATCGTAATTAATATTTATTTAATTATTAATTATAAACAAATTATAAACAAAATAATAATTTATAAAATTTAAAATGTTCAAAACTATTTTAAATATTTTATTTCTATTTGGGTAAATCATCTAATCTGGATTTGTAAACCTAAAGTTCTAACTAAATCTGGTTGTTTTATTAGTTATTTGTGATTTGTGAAATGAACAAATAATAATTATTAACTTTGCAAGATTATACGAAAAATAATCAATTAAATCAAATATTAACTGTAATTAGAACAGTTACAGATGTACACGCGTTCTTTTTTTAATTATAAGTCATGTGACCGCGCGAATTATATGCATTACGCGGCAAATTATTGATGACTAATTTAGCATTCTTTTTAGAAAAATTTTTTTATATTCTCCGCTCATTTTAAATTCAACAATACTGGTTTTGATGCGTTATTGTGTCAGGATGCCCAGCTAAAATTTCTCCACGCCTTTTCTATATTCATATTCTTTTACGTCGTGCTCCTAATGAAATGTCGTCCTACGAATTAATTGCATACAATGTTTAATCCCATCTTAAGGTCAAGAAATGAAATTTGAAATATTTTATTCTTTTTAAAATCAGCACTCATCCATCATAATATAAATATTATAAATCAGGATATTATTAATTACCTCAGGAATTGATTACATCTAATATGTATCATCTATCTATAAAACGATCGTCTATCATTATTTTAATATATATATATTTTTTTTTTAAAAAAAAAAAAAAAATGGAATTACATATCGAATGTTGGAAGCCAAATAATTTTTTTTAAAAAATTTTTTTTTTTTTTCATGGCTTTTTACAAGAATTATCAAAACTTGAGAAATTATCGTAATCATCGTCAGCACGAAGATCTTGTACGATGGATGTCATTTTTCAAAAAAACAAAAAAAAAAACTTTTTATTTGTTGTTGTGACTCAAAGGGGTAACATCAAAAAAAAAATTAGCCGGGTACTATCGGAGTCCGATTTTTTTGGGTGGTTTATCCCTTCAGGAAACAATTCTGGTTTTTTTTTTTGCTTCTGATTTCAAACAATTATAAGATAAATATTTTGAACTAGGATCAATTCGGTAGAACTTTTTAACTTCAGATCATATCGAAAAATGTATTAGTTTCGACCTGTTTGTTTTACTGATGATGCACAGCAAAATGCGATGGAATGCATCGTAATGATTGGTCTAATGTATGTTGAAAAAAATTTTTTTTTTTTTTTTTTAATCATTTAGTAATTAATGTGCTATTCATATCCCAACCTTTTTTTTCGCCACGTATCACGTATATACTATATAATATTTCTTAAAGGGGGTGAATCCAAAATATCAATTTTTTTTTTTAGCTTAGCTAACGTAGTATAAACGGGTGTTGTTGGCTGAGTTGGACACCTTTTTTTTCTTGCATACTGTTGCACCTTTGAGGAGTTTCGCTGCCTCACTTAACGACCAAGAAAAAAAAATTTTTTTTCGGCAAACACAGTTGCTCACGCGGCGAACAACCTTTTTGTTGTTCTTTTGTGAAAAACTGTCCGCAGAGTTTCCTAGTTAAAACCAAAAAAAATTTTTTTTCTTATTGAGCCTTTTTTGGTTCGCTCTTCAACTTGGTGCCTTTCCTTCTTCTGATCAACACCAAAAAAACCTTTTTCCTCTACTTTTCTTACGTGCTCGTCTTATTATATTTCTTTTTTTTATAAGCCATGGTTAGTCCAGCAACTGCGCAGCCAGATAGTAATCTCGCTAGTACTAGTGTTAGAAATGTTAATCTGATCAAGCCTACTGGTACAAAAATTAAAAATGAACTGGAAACTAATTGGTCGAATACGGTTCGATCTTCTGTTCAACAAAAATTACCTGAACAGGTTAAAGAAGCCTTACAGCATAATGAGGAGAATCAAAAACCAATAGAGAACGAAGTACCAAAAAAAATAATACCTCCTCCTGCCCCAATACCAGCCGTAAACGTATGGCAAGTAAGGAAGGAGGCTATATATGCCAAAAATGTCGCCGTTTCTAATGACAAGGAGAAAGAAGTAGTAACTGATTCTCACAAAAGAACTGATAATCAGGATAATGATCATGAACCTTTAGATGGTACGTTGAAAAATAGATATATCAATCTTTGAAGATCATAAAAATGAACTTTTTAATATTCGATGTTGCTTTAAACTTTAAGTGATTTTACGAATTATGAGACTGATGATTTCCGAGAGATTTTATTTTATTTATTTTTATTTTTACCTTTTTTTTTTTTTTTAAAAAAAAAAAAGTTATAAATTAAACATTTATATTTCATATGAGTACACTGGTAATAATTCAGAGAATTATTGTTCGAAATTAACCCTACCATTAAGAAATCAAAATAAATTAATAAATTTATAACCATTTCATTTTTTGATTGATTAATTATAATAATAATAATAATTTTTTTTTGGGGTTAAAATCCAGAAGATTCTAGGAGGTTTAATAAGAAAGAACCAAGAAAACCAAAATCTCTACCAACACTACCACCATTAGAGGATCAAACTAGTTGGCCTGCTCCTGCTGAAGTCTTGATTAAAGACAAAGAAAAGGAAACAAATGATTCATCGGAAAAGAAACAGTCTAACGAGTCAAATATAAAAAAAGAAGATAATACTAAAAAAGGTTTTTTTTTTTTATTTTTTTTATTTTATTTTTTTTATTTTATTGATATTTTATAATCATCGTTTTTGATTTATAACGCTACAATACTCATTTTATAATTTTTATAGGTAAAGGCAAATGGATGCCATATAAAGTAACTATTACTCATAATACTCCATTACCTGGTCATGAACGGTCGAAAGCTCGTCGTCGTAGCGAAGATCACATTGGTCTCCGAGAACAACAGAGATCAAATGATAAACCTAATATTAGCTCTGAAGCTGAACCTAGCAATCCACCCCCCAGAAATCCTAGTCCTAATAGACGTCGTGCTAGTGTACCCCCTCCGACGAGGGAATATACACGTCATTATTCGCAGCAAAATGATAATAGTGGACAAATTGGTCACCATATTAATGGTGGGTCTCATTATCGTGGACGAAGAGGTGGAAGAGGTTAGAATTGATGATATCATGCTATTTACTTTATAGTTGCTTGCTGCAATTACTCCGAGTTTACAACACTATGCTGTAAATTCATTGCAACCCTTGTAATCTCTCGAAAATAATTGCAGTCAGTATCTAGATTAATACCAACACATAATCATAAAAAATTTTCACAATTTAGGTCGTTATAATGCACGTAGTCACCCACGATCAGCAACTATTTCATACTCATCAGGGTATGGACATCATAATCATAGTCAACATGGTCAACATGGCCAACATAGTCACCAAAGTCATCATGGTCATCATTATAACAATTTATATGGATCGAAAATTGGCGTTGTTTATGATGTTGAAGTCTTAAAATTTTGTATTTTACAACAAATGTATGTTCTATGTGATTGTCAAATTTTAACCTATTGATTGTGAAACAAGAATCTAATGATTATTTATTGTATATTTAGAGAATATTATTTCAGCCTTGAAAACCTTTGCAAAGATATATATTTACGAAATAATGTGAGTAATTTCACAATATCTAATCATTATAATAGAATATAATTAATTAATTTTTATTTTTCCATAGATGGATTCTGAGGGTTATGTTCCTATTTCATTGTTGGCCGGTTTTAACCGTGTAAAGGCTTTAACGTTGGATGAAGCATTTGTTCGTGAGGTAACCTATCTTTTTCGACTTCATTATGTCCAATTGTTCTGCTGTGTATAATTAGTTAATTCGGATTTGTTATTTGGATTTTTAGGCTCTTCTCATGAGCTATATTGTCGAAGTTAATGGGGACAAGGTTAGGAAACGAGAAGGTTGGGAATTTTGGCTCTTACCGAAACAAGTAAGTGTAATATTATACTGCAGGAAAATTATCCAGAGTTTTATTGACTTGTATTAATATTTTTAAGCGAGAACTTTCTCAGAATGGAGATAAAGAACTTACTCTAGAAAAAACGATAACAGAGTCTTCAAGCGTTACAGAAGAAAGCAATTTATTACTGGACAAGGATGAAAACAAAGAAAATCAGGAGATGCCGACTATTCCGGAGGACAATTCTGAGGGCAATTCCACTAGTAATCCTTGGATTCTTCAAACAAAAAAGCGTCGTACATTATCATCACCGACTTCACCTCACGTAATGCTAAAGCAAACTGCTACAACAATTTCTGCTGATGAAGAACTTTTTCAGTTTGATGAAGAGTGGACTGGTAATTCGAGGAATAACACAGTTCAAAAATATTATGCCACATCGGATGAGGAAGATGGAGACGATGACGAAGAATTTGATGATGATACTGTTGCAAGCATCTTAATTGTTACGCAAAAGAAGAGAGATAAAAGTCATGTGCCTTTCGAAAGGAAGGCTATGAATGGTTCGTTTTTTGTTTTTTAAAAAAAACCAAATGTATTTATTTTTGTTCATAGCAATAACTATATTTTTTTTTTTTCATTTAAAAAAAAATCAGATGAGATTGTTGAAATGATTAACGAAGGTTTATATCATTACGAATTTGACTTACACAAAAAGTTAGTATACAGTTTATTAAGCAATTATAATTAGAGAAGTCAATATCTTATATTGTTTGAAATTTTTTTACTTCAGACGAGTCAATAATTCGTCTAATAATCGTAAAGTAGACATTATTAGGTAGAAATGCTATTTTATTATTGTAATCAATATCACCTTCACAAATGTTAACAACTTTTTATTTGTTTTTAGCGAGGAACAATTTACTTCAATTATTTCCTCAACCAAGTTACGTGAGGGATCATCGAGTTCGAATTCAGGGGCTAACCTATCGAGTAAGGTTATAACAACGGAAAAGGAGAAGAAAAGGTGTGTTTTTGATATATATTGTATTTTAAAGCAGCGATCTCATCAATATTTTCCCCTAATGTTGCTATCTGATTACAGAAAGAAAAAATCAACGCGTTTCTGGCCTGTAAAAGGGGTACCACCACAAATTCCACTTAATTCCAGTGTTAAGGCAAACCATAAACACATACCTGATACGCGTCAATATTATGCTCAAGATGCTGTTGGTTGGGTGCTTGGGTAAATAAATAAATATTAGGTTTTATTACGATTAATATTACATTTAACCAGCTATAACGCTAATCTTCATTAACTTTGAATTATATAGTGATCAACCTTATCACTCACCTGAAGGAACGTCACCACACTCACTTTCTCCTCATAGTCATAGTAATGGATCATCAATTAGTTACTCAGAGCAATTATCTTCTTCAATGGACTTAGCGCGCTCATTCCCTCCTTTCCAACATCCTAGTCACGAATTACTTAAAGAGAATGGATTTATTCAACACAAGTATTATAAATATCATGCCAAGGCTTTGAAAGGTTTTTAATAATTGACTTTTAATTAATTATATTTATATTTAAATGTAAAGATGATACCTTATTAATATCATTATTATTTCGTGTTAATTTCAGAACGCAAACGGCAAGGAATTGGACAGTCACAGGAGATGAATACTCTCTTTAGATTTTGGTCTCATTTCCTTCGTGAACATTTCAACAAACGCATGTACTCCGAGTTTAAGAAACTCGCGGTCGAAGATGCTAACGCTAATTATCGTTATGGTCTTGAATGTTTATTCCGGTTTTACTCATATGGCCTTGAGAAAAAATATCGCCAAGACTTATTCGATGATTTTCAGGAGTTAACATTAAATGATTATGAAAATGATTGTCTTTATGGTCTCGAAAAGTTTTGGGCCTACTTGTATTATAGAAAAGATAAGAATAATGTTGAAGTACGCGATCAATTAAATAAAATA